GAAACATTTGTGGTGCGTGCTCTGGATAAACTATTTCTCTCACCCTTGTCTGGACAAGGGATGCGGGCCAAAGAGTTCACGTCCTTACGTTTTGAAAATCGGTGGTTTTAAGAATAAAAGTGATGCCTCTGAGTTTCCTTTTGCAAACGCTGCGATCCTTAAGATGCGAATTAGACATAACTTCCCTCCTTGCTTGGGGGTGCTGTTCTGGAAGGCCCTCCCGCTGGGGCAGGGCCCACAGCCCGCTGCGCTGAGCTGTCGCGTTTTGGATCCGCTGGGAAAGGGTGGTTTCCAGGAGGTCCTATTTGCTGGCCACTAACACACTCCTTCTCTCCTGTCCTGCAGAAAAGCAAACTAAAGCTCCCTCCACGCCGGGCAAAGCAAGGGGACTCGACTCCGTTCATTGTGCTCACGCTGGTCTCCGTCGTGGCCATGGTGGGGGTCCTCCTGGCCTCCGGCGTCATCTACTGTCTCCGCCACACCTCCCGCGCCAGGCTGCAGGACAAGCTGTCGGGACCAGGGGACCACCCGGGCCCGGACGCCACGGCCGCCTACCAGGTAGGGGCTCCGTTCACCCACTGGACACACAGATCAGTTAACTGCCTGAGGCCCTTCCCCACGCCCAGCGGCTCTCTTACCCATAGTTTGGGTTCTTTTAGGAGGACGGTTGGAAACTCCTCACTAGCGTTCACACGAGTCCCTTGTAACCACAGTTTTACTGCTTCGTGTTAATCTTACTCTGTTCTCGGCTGGTCTCAGTTAGCTGTGAAAGCAGGTTGCTCAATGGAAATGTGGAAGAAGTAAGAAACGTGAATTACGTATCTTTATCTTTCTTAGTTTGGCCACTATTAATGAAAAAATGCCAAAGTTGCGAGATACGTTGGCTGTGTGGGTTTTTGAAGACGTCTCTTAAATTGTCGACTTCTCGGGGTCTCATATGAAAGGATCCTTTGACCTGAACCGTTGCTGACCTCTGCTATTATTTGGATAAAGTGAAATCTAATGCCGATAAGTGGGAAGTAAGCCAAGGACGTCCCCTTGAGAGCCAGGGCGGCGGCCTCCCGCGGGTAACACGGGACGTCCCAGACCCACCTGGAGACAAGTCAGAAGCCAAAGAGAATGTCAGGAAGGCAGGTTCAGACCACACGGGCTGGTAGAAAATTCCCAGAATGTTTGGACGTGCCGTAGCGTACGCTTCATATTCGGTAATGTCCTGTAATGAAGATGTGCCTTCGGTTGTAACAGCATACGAGCCCACGGTAGGAACTAGTTGGGGCGTTGGATTCCTTTTAACGTAAAATGGCATTTAACTCTAAGTACATTTTCCCATTTGGGAAGGTAAAACATTTAATCATCCTTTTAAAAATTCATTCGATATGTATTTGTGGAAGATTCCCTCCCACTGGACGAGATGCTTTGTTTTGTCTAGTGACATGATTGTGCCGTGGAATATGTCTGTCTTCTGTACGACACATCCTATTTACGATCGTGTATAAGTTGAATGTTACTCTCCTGTCATGACAGTCATATGGGGGGCTCTCCTGCTCTTTCTAGAACCACCCTCCCCCGCCCAAGCTGGCCCCCTGGGTGCCCTCTAGGACTGGCCTGTGCTGCCTGATTTTGCTCCTTGGGCTGCCCTGACGCTGGCCCACGGAAGGAGCTGGAATGAGTTTCTAAAACCACTATGCTTAAAAGACACCAGGAGATAGCTTCCCACCTCCCCCCCCCCCCCCCCCCGCCCCGCCACCATTTCAAAATTCTTGGTGTTGTCCCTGAACGGAGGAGAAACGCTCCGGTTTTCTGGAGGAGGTCACAAGGCTGGTCAGCGTGATCGTCTCTTATAAAGAAATGGCAACTTCAAATGTGTGGGAGGTGACATTTCAGCCCCAGCGCACGGCTCTGCTTCAAAGCAAAAGAAAAACCACGTTTGAAGAAGAAGCCTAGGAAAAAATGTCACATAAACTAGTAAGAATTTATCCAGAAATTCTATTGAGCAAGACCATCGGTGTAGGATGGCCAGGTCTGTGCCGGGACATAAATAAATTATCACACCAGTTCTGTTCTGTGTGCAAGAGACGGGAGATCACACAGGGGTGGATTTTTAGAAAGCACAGCATCCTTTGATACACTTTGAAATTCAAATATAAAATATTGATAGAATGGAAAGGTTGGGCTTGCATGCAGAAATGACTAAGTTTGGCAAAAACGCAGGTTGAAATTGCACACTGAGAACTGAGTTTCCGATAATTAACAGAAAAAAAAATCTTGCCAGTGACAGCTCTAATTAATAGTATCTGTAATTAAAATCATGCCCTTCCAGCAGGAAAATTGTTTGAATTTCTTGGAGTGACCTTTTTGTTGTTCCTCCTGGGGACATGGTGGTTAAGTTGATATTGATTTTATAATGAGCTCTGGTTTGTTTAATAAGAATCTGTAATCCAGACGAGAAATGAAATGTGTACTTTTCTTCAATCCAGATTAATAAAAAGGGGAAAAAACTTTTCCTTTAAAAATGTGATCCAGGGAAATTTGGAAATGAAATGACTGTAAAGATTTTCGGACGGGCTTGGTTTTGTTGTCGCTCCAGTATACGTTTTAGGGAAGGCCTCTGATTAAATGTGGACATCGTCCCGAAGTGGCCTGTTCGCCGGGGAGAAGGTGCTGCTGTTTGAGCAGCTATGTTGTTGTGGTTTGTGGTTAGCAGGGCAGGACTCAGCACACGGGGATGGGGTTTCACGACTTTTCCCTCTAGATTTAGCTGACTCATGTATCACCAGCTCTTAAAAGCATAGCTACCAATAGAGGGGGTTTACATTTGTAAATGAGGCAAGAGTTAGCTCATTAATGCGTCCGCACTAAACCTGGGTTTTCTAGAGCGACCCCTGAGACCCCCTTTGAACGCAAACGTCTGTCTGAGAAGTTGTCCAAAGTATCGCAAACATAAAACGATTTCAGGAAAAGCTGCTTTGATGCTTTTTTATTTTTGCATCGTTGGCCTTCTGCACGCGGTTAACCCTACAGTGGAAGGGGAGTTTGGATAAACCTCCCCTAAGTCCCATCACTGGACGAGGAAAACCGAGCGATTTGATATCATACCTTATCTCTTGGGGACGATGAAAATAATCATTGTTATAATTTTTCCGGAAGAAAGTGTGCGTGAGGTTAGAAGTAGCTGACCTGGGAATGAGGAGTGGCGGGTGGCAATGTAGCAAGTTTTATCAGCGTTGGAATATGACATGACCCTTCCGACGGACGGAGTCGGTGTCCTCGTCAGAACACAGGGTGACTTGCCCCTTCCGATGGACGAAGTCAGTGTCCTCGTCAGAACACAGGGAGCCTTCGGCCAGCAGTGAAGGATGGGGTTCGGGGGGTCTGCTCCAGCCGAGGCTCTGGTGGCCTCTGGACTGGGATTTCTTCTTCCCGGAGAGGCTGAGAGGAGAATCCATGTGTCCCCAGTTACACGGCACGGCAGTGGCCTCATTGCAACATGCCTGGCGCGGGAAGGCCCCCGCGCAGCCGTGGTCCACGCGAGCCCTCACAACTCACCCGTGTGCTGTCTGCCCTCCCAGGCTGCTGGCGGTCCGTGCAGAGACCTGTGCGCTCATAACTCATGATTCGGGGCTTTGGGTTACAGTGTGTTCATGGAGTGTTCCCGAATCATCAGTGGGCTTTTCTTCACACTGTTTCAAACAGTGAGTACTTTGCATTATTAGATCCTAATGCAGACACGTTTAAACATTTTTCCTTTTCTTCCTCGGAATAGAACTATTTCGTAGACGGAGTCAGCATCTTAAAGCTTAGTTTACGGATGTGTATGTGGGTGAGATTTTTGTTTGCTTTACCCATTGGAAAATCAAATATTTCTTGATAGACTCTCACGCTTCAACACTTACCAAGAGATCAGTCTTACCAAACAATCTGTCATACTTTAATTTCCTCAAACTTGGAAGAACTTCCAGAGTAACTGAAACCTGTTTGGGAAGGTCATTTTTTTAATGGTCACCAAACTTTTCTCGGTTGTTTTAGTAGATATTACTTCTTCTTCTAGATGCGGAAACCATAGTATGTTTGGATTAAGTCTGTGCTTTGTTATCTGGAAAGGTAATTTCTTTACTTTTGTTCTTTCTTTCCCCGCGTTGGCCTGTCAACATGTAACATTTACATGGCGGGAACGCCTGTGCACCCACTCACGACACATGGTCACTCAGGGTAGCAGCGCCCGGTTCACGTGGAAGGAGGTGGAACCCACGGCGCTGGGGCCCCACCTCACGTGGGTGTCCTGTTTCCGTGGAAGGCACTTGGGCAACACTGTGCAGAGAGAAGTCGTTAGGTGATAAGTAGACGTTCCCCGGCTTTTTCCCTCTGAGCGTCTTTGAGTGTCGCGTCCATTTCTCTGAGGCTCTGATCACCTTGGAGCAGCCAGTTCGGCAGCCCACCGGCCCTCGCTCCCACCCCACTCGAGGGCACGGACCCCGGCGGAGTTTTCCGCAAGCCTCTTTTGATGGTTTATTTCACAACACCCAGGTTTCCTTGTTACTTGGAGGCCTTTGGAGCCAGAGGCAAGAGCGCATTTGGGTGTGGGCGGCCTGGACACGGCCCCGGGGGCTCATCCCACTCGCGAGTGGTTATGGGAGTGTGACATGAGGTGTGTTGTGGCCACTGCTGTCGGGGGGGCTCCCTCCGCTCAGGCTGAGGGGCCCGTGGCCCGGACGCATCCTAACTTCCCACCTCTGGACAAGGGAGAGCCAGGCGCTCACAGAGGGGGTGTGGTGTATTCTCCCGGGCTTTGAACTGGGGGGTCTTTCTTTTTCCACGGCGGTTTAATCTTTCGTAATCTGCACTCACCAGCTAGAGAAGCGTTTTTCCGATTCAGGTAGACAACAGTGAGTCCCCTGAGGTTTGCCTGGTCCCCACCACGAGCTCCTAAAGTCGCCTGTTCTGTCAACGCTGTCTCTTAGAACGGCTTTTCTTGGCTCTACGTTTAAGTTTTCACATCAGTATAACTTTTTTTTGCGACTTCCCAGCAGGTGAAATCTATCCTGCTTCAGAAATGGGCGAGTTCCCTAAAATCATGTTAAAGACCTCACATTTTTCCTAATCAGTCAAGCCTGAGAATTGGAGTTTTGCGAAGTTTGCCCTTGCAGGAAGCAGCTATCTGCACCTGTGTCTGTAGGTAGAATTCTCCAGAAGCTCTGTACGTACTGAGTTGGCGTTTCGTGCGGTGGGAGGGTGAGGCCTTGTCCCGGCGTGCCGTGCTCCACGGCCCCAGGAACAGGCCCAGGCTTCACCGCAGGTGCTGTATTGTTTCCCAGAAGCACAAATGTCACCTGCCTCCCGACACAGCCACGCCACAGACCTAGGAAAACCCGCAGGCTTCTGCCCTGCCGAGAGCAAAGAAATCTGTCCGTCCTGAGCATTTCGAGCACATGCATCTACGTGTATGTGCACTCGATTTCAAACGATCAGTACGCGGGCCGACGAGCTCGGCTTAGATCTTCTAGATACTTTCCACTCTGGGTCTGAACGTGGTTCGGTAAGGCGTGACTTTGTAGTGCATT